ATACTGGCAACACAGTGCAATTAGGAGACGCAAAAAAATGGTAGCATTATAGTCTAGTTGCTCGAAGGAATAAGTAAAATAAAAATATCCAAATAAAATAAATATCATATCTATTCCAATGAATTCGGACCGGATACTATCAAGCACATCACTATGAAAACTAGACGCACGATGTAACTTTGTACAAGCGCGCCAAAGAACAAAAAATAAATGTTTTCATATTATTTACAAACTATTTTAAGTTTTGAAACAGAGTTTATCGGAAAATTACTTGATTCTTACATTTTGACATAAAGTTTTATATTAAAGAGGTATTCTAAATCATTCGGCAAATGTGTCGCTCGTGCAAGGTTATATCGATTAATTTAAGAATAATCTGTCAAATCGGTAATAACTCAGCGGCCGTACTATAATTTACAGAATTTTTCTTCATAATAAATAAATATATAGCTACATGATTACTATAATTACTGTTTTTATTAATACAAATGAGCTATCTGTATATGTGTAAAAACTAAACCACATTTTAGTACAGAATAAAAAATTAACATGTCTAAGTAATTGAATAAAAGTCCAGCACCCATGGTCACGAAGCTCCGTGAACGGTCACTGTAAATGGTCATGGGTGAAGCACCCAAAACGTCGAGAATTAATAAAAATAAGTTAATTAAACGCGATAGAATCCGTAAAAGTAGTTTTATTCAATGTATAGTGTTCGCGTAAATATAAGAAATCATTATGTCTAAGTAAATTTCGGTTTCGGGCGAAACTGACACCCAGACTGACGATTCGTTTTCGGATACGGTCAAGATACGGTTTCGGTTGAAAATCGTGTTTCGGTCGGACACAATTCGGTCTGTTTCGGTCGGATAGATATTAGTCATAGATATAGTATTCATTAGATTGGCAATGGCGTGATTAGGGTGAGACCAAAAACGAAATGTAGCCGTGTGAGTGAAATGTGCATGTGTGCGACAACAGTAGTGCTGCGCCATGTATCAACTTTAATTATCGATACAGAAAGCTGTGTCTGTGTCATAAAATGAATATTATGTTTGAGGGCATAAAAATAAAACTACAAACAAAAAGTTTGTGATTTTTATTTTCCACCAAAAATAACTAACTTATTGTAAAAATGTCGTAAGCTCTCCTTGGAGGTATTTTGCAATTTTGCTTCATACTTTAATCTGATAACCAAATAAGTTTCAATTATTGATTTAATAATTAAGTGTTTATGGTTTGATAATGCTGGCGAATCGTACATATGTATGTCAAGTGTGTTAAAAAAATGTTTGCAGGACACAAGGCATTCGTTTACTAATTTTTTAAATATATTTTCGTTTACAATTTTTCCTTTCACGTGTTTTCGGAAAACTCGTTCAGAAAAGACACCTATCTCATAAACGTCTTGAGAGGGATACACGAGGCCACCTACGTCTTTCATGTTTATTAGTGAACCTTCCTTAACTTCACCGTAAAGTACATTTACACAGGATTCGCATTTAATTTTATTTGCGATTTTTTTTACCACGTAACCACATATGTACTGAACAATGGACTTAACTACAGATTCCATGCCTTCAGGTATCCATGGCATAGATGATACGAAATCAGAATCTTCATTATCTATTTGGCCTGGGCCAATAGCCGCATCGTCGTTTGGCATCGTCATAGCACTAAGGCCAGTTGTAGTATTTATTATATCTATAGTACACGATTTTTGTATGTTGAGCATACTAATATTCTCCAAAGGCAAACAATTGGCTTTATCGCTGATTTGTACTTCCACGTGGCAGATTAATCGTTTGTATGCTGCTGTGAATTGTCTGGCTGTTGGATTGTTGTTAAATCCTCCTCTAGAACGTACTGCACTAAAAAATAATTCTATATGATCTTGGGAGAGTTTATAGGTCGGAAGAAACTTTAATTTTCCTGACTCTATGAAATCGACATATAGCCACTTCAAAGCTATCGTATTCGCCAAAAAACCGATAAAACCAAGTTTTCTTCGACTCTCTATCAAAGCTTGGTTGTTGTATTTTAAATTTTTAATAAATTCACACACTTTGTCACATTCAGCTACAACATTTTCAACATTATTTGCATTTAAGGCCTTCTTAAATCCGTAGCTGAGTAAATTTCTGGAGTTGAAAATGTCAAATATGCTGTTTATATGTTTTATAAAACCTGCTGTCGCTTGGCAATTTTCAAACATAGGTAATTTTAATACTTCTTTGCAAAACTCTAAGCTGGTTGCAACAGAATTACTCAACAGTTGCGCCGCTAATCGTACATTCATTTTGTGATTTACAAAATTGACATGTTTTTTAGTTACCTTATTTGCCAAATGCAAACCGGCATCATGTTGAAGCTGGCAGAGATTTTCAACAAATTCATATTTAATAATATCATTATGATGATAAAAATTTTTGTATTCTGCAAAAGTATTTCTTATCAACTTTAATAAATGACACGCATCTAATATTACGTAATATTTTTGCCCTCTATAGTAAAAGTATGGTCTAAATGGAGCGGTGCTCAAATTAGCTCCTAGTATTTGTGCCATATTTATATTAGATGCTATGCCATCAAAAGTAACAGAAGCAACTTTTACAAAATCTGACAGTGAAGCAATACACTGCTTTAGAAGTGTTGCTTTCTGTAAAGCAGTAAATCCTCTTCCAAAAAAATAAGCAATTGGAATTTTCCAAAAAGAATTAATTGCCACTGCCATTATTACTAATACCTCTTTAGCCTTGTCTACTTGATCTCCATGAATACCATTACCCACATCTACATAGCCATGATGATTACAACCGTCAAATTCAATGTGTTCACGGATAGACATTTCGTCGAACGTAAGGGCGATGACCAAATCTTTTTTTTCTTTACTTACAGCCTTTATGGTTTCTATGGCTTCCTTAGTGATACCTGGCTTACAACCTACATTTTGGTACCAGCCTCGTAGTGTTCGAGGATGTGGTAGGCACAGGTCAAATTTAGTTCTCATGTAATTGTAAGCCCGAGGACTATAAAAGTGTAAAGTTAGGGCAAATGTCTTTAGTTGTGTATCATACTCTTGTTTAATATTTTTATTTTGTTTTTTCTTAATCACTCTTTCGATGAGATGCTGCAACAAATCATTTGGACCAGATGCCATTACAGCACTAATGTTATTTTGAAGTGAGGGAAGCCTTTCTAAGTTTTTTATCACTTGAGACAACTTTCCCACTTTTCATCAGCCCGTTTTTTTTGTGCTCTTACATTTTTCAGTTTTTTTTGTTTTATATCTAATCTTCTCCGAAGAATATCAATAGTCTTTTTCATTTTTATCTTTCTCGGGGAATTGTCTATAGCAGAAATGTTTGCAGTTGAACTACTGGGTACTGGTAATATATCTCTGTAGATATATGGGGATGCTTTGCGTATCGGTTTCAATACAACCTACAAACAAACAAATAAAATTAGTGCATACATTATGTACTTATCTATGATTAAAATTAATAAAATAAAGTACCATCCTTTTACCTATTTCTGTCGCTAAATAGCAGAGCTTATACTACCGCTAAACAGCAGTGCTTACACTGCTGCGTTTCGGCCTGTTGAGTATAGAGAGCCTGTATAATTTTCGGTTGTAAGACATTTTATCTTAGTCCTCAGGGGTAAAAACACATTTGTAGGTTTCTTTATTTGAAGATGACTGCAGGTGTCCATGTACTGCAGTAGCCGTTTACCATCAAGTGATACTGTAAGTTTCTTTATTACTTTCATTTTATAAAAAAATATACATAACGAGAATGACAACAACAAGTTGTACACATTTAAACATGCGCAAACGAAATTAAGATATGTACAGTAAAATATATAAGTAATTAAAAAACTACGCACGGGCATAAATAATGTAGGTATTGATCCAGAACGCAGCTTTACTCTTTGTGCACTTCTATGAGAAAAACATTTTTGTTCAAAGTGCTTGCTACATATAGTTGAATTTTTTTTGGGAACCCATCCTTCTCTATTTAACATTTTTAACCATTTTTGTTTAACCTCATTATTTTTTGGAAATCTGAAACAATATAAATCATCTCATTAAAGTATTACTATAATGTGTAAATATTTACTTTTACGAAAAACTAAAAATTAAAAAAAAATACGAAGTCACAAAAGGCTGTATCCAAGGATATGCCTTTGCCTGTTATAAACATATTATCGATAAGACGATATTGATAGTGTCAATCCCTACAAAAATTTGATCAGAAATAGCGGGAATTCACGTATTTGTTATTATTTTTAATATAGTTCTCACGCATTTAGATTATTATCGTAATAAAATGCGATATTTTTCTCTGTCCATTTGTGTATAAAACATTTGTTATAGTTGTGAAATAGTGAAGTTAGAGTGCTAAACATTTTAATTGTACTTACATGTGAAATGTATAATTTTGTGGATTTACTTTTCTGGATGAACTGCATTCAGGTACGGCACACGTCACCATACTTAATCACACCTTTTAAATACTTATTAATACTTTAAAATCAAAAATATCGCGAAAATAAGCGGGATTTGTTTTGTTCACCACTGACGTCCGGCTGATACAGGCTGATAGTGTGTACGTGTATGGTCTAGCCATTCTATCTCGTTCTAACGTAAGCATATGCTATGCCCTTTCTCTTTTACATTGCCAATCTTAGTATATACTAAATCTATGATATTAGTACTACTTCTACAAAGGTACTCTGTGATTACTCCCATAGAGATTATACTTCTAAGTCAGTGATTACTCCTGTCTCCTTGCCTGGGTAGGCTCAGAAGAGCTCGAACCCAGAGCTGTAAAACAAGTTTAAAAAAAATTCTGTCTCGTCTTCTGTCAGTGTCAACTGTCAAGTGTCAGAATCATATGTATTTTTTCTAGTTGTCTAGTTCTAGGTTCTTCAGAATATTACACCGGATTATGAAATAAGTATTTTATTATTTATGTCTTTTCTTATCTTGTAAAGATATGGCTTCCGTTATTTTACGAAGAAATATAGTAAGTCGCCATTTGAAACGCCCATTTTATCAGAATAAACGTAATGCAGGATACGTCGTATTGTAAGTATATATTTTTGTAATTATATACATTATCAAGCTTTATAACAGTTTTTAGAATTAATTGGGGCTACACACGATTACTTTTAACTGTCCGTTTTGACTGACCACTTTTAACTGACAGTGAAAACTGACGTCCTTTGCACCCACACACGATCAATTTTAACTGATCTCTGACCACAAACAACATTACCATCTCAAGATGTCATCAGCCGACGACGACGCTTTAGCCGTGCTTGTTTTATTTAAAAAGTAAAAATAAATAATATACGCAGAGTGGTGTAAAGAGTGGTTAAAAAAAAGGAAAATTTATTCCCATGTTAATTTATTAACTGAACTAAAAATTGTTTCGAAGGATTGGCACAACTATCTCAAAATGAGTGAAGAATTATACCTCAATCTACTCTCTCTAGTGTCTCCACTTTATCGTTCATAGTACTCCTTACTTTTATTCTGCCATTAGCAAGGTTCACTTCTATATAATTTTTAAAAAAAAATACTAGTAATGTTATTATACATTACTAATATTCCCTTTAACCACTTCTGGTAAGCTTAAAATGCTAAAAGAGCCCAGTGCTTCAAGGAATGCCTGGTGCCTCGTTGCTTATTAATTTTAGTTTTTGAGACTAGTCTTGTGCCTGCTTGGTCATTTTAAAGATTGTTCCGTACTAGTTCATTATGGACAGTGAACTTGTTCGTTCTATTAGTTCTATTCGGTCATCAGTACTACTAACCTGTTTAAACTGTATCTTTCTGTATGGAATGTTTATCTTAGTCAGTCACTGACTGAATCTGTCAACAGTCAGACTGATAGATACAATTTAAACAGGTTAATGTAGTCAGTCTCGGTCGGTCCCTTAGTCTCCTTAGTAGTTGTGCCGGACGGGCGTACTTTTAAAAACATATTAGTTTTCGGGATTAAATATTACGCAGTTCTATGACGTGTCACGCTCTGATTAGTCGACTTTTTGTTTGTACAAATAAGAGTTATTTTCTTAACTATTACAAAACGATGCTCTATACTATAATACTAAGGGTTGTAAACATGTTACACTATTGCACTATTTTTCAATCACTTTTTGCCGTCGCGAACAGTAGGTAGGTAGGTAGTTGTTATAAAATAACTTCAAATTTCTTTAATTCCAATATTTTTTCTTATTTCGCAGACATGCAGGCTTCCTCACAATGTTTTCCTTCACCCGGTGGTGAAGGAAAACATTGTAGCAAGCACGTGGTAAATCAGCACTTAAAATTGCAACTAACAATTTCATTGCGGGGATCGAACCCGGATTGCTCGCGTACTGTGAAATTTATAGCGAGCGCTAACCATCTGAGCTACCACGGCTCCCAACAAATTTATTAAATAAATAAAATTAACCATAATGAATAAAATTATCATATTTCAGTCCATTCAAAACAATCCATGATCGATTTCTTATCTTACAAATTTATAATTTTATATTAAATTAGCCGTATTTATGCCATCTAACGTCTTCTTTACGTACCACCTTGAGAGTCAATTAACTTTCATTCGATAAAATGACTTTAATACCCGTAGAATGGAGTAGTTTGCGGTTTATAAAGCAATGTTATTTGAATGAAAATATTCCTTAAAAATATCAATACATGCATTCTTTTGATATATTATATTAAAATTTAAGCTTCACATGACTAAAAATAAGCATTGTAATAATTATTTGCTATAAAATTAAACTTATATCCAATATTTTATTTAAAGCCATGTCTACCTTGAATGACTATTGACCGATTCTGTTCTGTTTGCGTGCGTCGTTCTCGTTCGCACGCACGGTTTGGCGTTGGCGTCTTGCGAGTGTAGGTGAACGAAAAGAACTGTTAGACCGATTAACAATCAACATTCGGAAACGTTTCTTCTAGTACAGTGGCAAGATACGTTTCCTAATCGTTCATCGTTCGCGAACTACACAAGACTAGTTCGCAAACTACACAAGACTATTTGAGATAGTTCCATGTTGACTATCACGTGCGCGTGAGCGACAGTTTAATCGTTTTATTTATAACATTCTTGTTGTTACGTTTTGTTTTTCTTGTTTTGTTTTAATAATGCCTAATGTGTAGATTATACGTTACTACGGTTGTAGTTTATAGTGCTCGTGAATATGGCAACTTGTTAATGTGCCTTGGAATAAGTTGTGTATCGCCAGCAACGCAAAGTCGGGATTTTGCATTTGGAAAAATCCAAAATTAGGGGCTTTTTAGGTGCTAATTAGGTGCTAATTAGGTGCCAAGTTTAAAAATTAGGTGCTCCAAATTTTTCACCGCAACGAACCATTGAAATTTGCGTTGCAGGCAAAACGTATCGCTGGCAACGCAACGAAGTTATTAGATATACGATAAATATTAATAGCAAGGAATTTAGTGCTAATTAGGTGCTGCAAGTATACGCAATGACAAGGCGCCCCTAATAAAAATTAGTTGCTCTAAAATTTTCACTGCAACGATCGATTGAAATTTGCGTTGCTGGCAAAACGTGTCGCTAGCAACGCAGTGACGTTACTAGACATACGATAAATATTAATAGCAAGGAATTAAGTGCTAATTAAGTGCTGAGCGATTATCGAAACCCGATACAGATTAAGATATTATTCTGGGAATTATGGGGTCCACAACCACCATTACCTTACCATAATGTATGAACGGTATTTTTTGTTCTTTATCAGTGCCTAAAAATGAAGTGCTAATTAGGTGCTGAAAGATTATTGAGGTCGCATGTAGATGACGGTAATATTCTGGAAATTATCGGATTTAAAACCACCATTACCTTACTATAAGGTATGAACGGCATTTTTTGTTTTTAAGATTTAATAAAATCTATAATATTATTTAATATAATTTTCAACCAAATAAATGTTACAATTCTTATTTTTAGACATGTGAAGCCTAAACTTTAGTGTACTAAATCGAAAGGATATTTTCTTTCCAGTAAATTGCTTTGTAATAAATAGCGCCATCTACAACGTTCTATAGTTCTAATCATTTTATCGAATCAAAATCGATGGACTCTCAAGGTGGTAAGTACGATAGATGCTAGATGGCACAAACACAAAGACCTGATTTTTGCATATGCTTTGCTGAATAATTTTCTGAATAACGACTTTATTTTTATCTGGGGCGCCTTGTCATTGCCTATACTTGCAGCACCTTATTAGCACTTAATTCCTTGATATTAATATTTATAGTATATCTAATAAATTCATTGCGTTGCTAGCGATACGTTTTACCAGCAACGCAAATTTCAACAGTTCGTTGCGGTGAAAATTTTAGAGCACCTAATTTTTAAACTTGGCACCTAATTAGCACCTAAAAAGCCCCTAATTTTGGATTTTTCCAAATGCAAATTCGCGACTTTGCGTTGCTAGCAATACACATCTCTTGGAATAAGATTTAGATTGGTAAGCTGTTACATACCTATTTTTTTTTAAAATAACTTAGTACCTACTGAACTCATCTGAATAGGTACATAACTGAATAGATCAGAATAATAAACATATACCTACCCGATAGATACAAAGCATGACTAACCTTGCTAACATTTCATTTAACTATTTTTTTTATTAGCGGGGAATCGAACCAGGTATTTGGTTTATTTAACCTGTGAATAAAGTAAAGTGGCTAGGTGGAGACAAGCATAGTGGTAAAGTAGTAGGTTAAGTAGATAAGTTAGGTATTTAGACAAGTGTTGTAAATTATAAGGTATTGTGGTACCATCCGCTAGCTGCGGGCCGGGCGAATTAGGCGTTCGCGCGTACATTGACTCCTAGTCAGCTGATTGTACTTCAGTAATTCCACTGCTTGTTTTATGTTTAAGTATTTTCATGATTTTTTTTATGAAATTATCGTTTCATTTAGCTGTACTAACATGATGGCGCGTGAATAAAGTAAATAAAACGTTGTAAAAAAAATGATTTTTTTTTATCAGGATCGAATTTATTTGTGATAAAAGGGCTCCTTAGTACTCTCATCTGTCTTCGTTTTCGGGAGCTTTTCACAAACACCCGGTATATTTCAATATCTATATATTTGTTAATATCTTCGTTCTGAATAGAAGTCAGTATCACATGGTGATACTGACTTCTATTCAGACGCGATTTATGAACGAATATCCATTTATTGATTTATAGATATATTGTATTATTTATGTAATGTAAGTATTCTTAATTATCTCATAATATAAAAGTGACACATGTATATATATATATATGTAGAAAGGGTAATTGTGTATAGTACAGAGACTAATTTTGTAGTTAGGAATAATAATTAATTCGTTTACTCGTATTAACTATCCAACGAGTTAAGGATAAACTAGTAACGGAATACGACAAGCGTACCGTTCCACGTCAGAGCCAAAACTGTCTTAACGGCGGCCGCTCCGTCCGTTTTATACAAGCAGGACGGGTGGCAACGCAGGTGCAATGCCGCAGGTGTGCGGTACACGTGTCGTTTACAAGAATTCTGTCTAGCTAGACCGACGCCACCGCACCTACAACGGTGCAGGTGCCGTCACGGCCATACTGACATGCGTGCGTCCTCGCACGCGCTCCATCACAATTTTAGTTATCTGTAGACAAAAAAACATCGTTCGACTATCCTGACATAACAGCGTCTGGTCCGGTCTATATTGACCCTTCAGATTTGGGTGACAGTCAGTTTTGTTCCGGCAGTAAGCCCTACAAAACTTTAATCATCTTTATGTTAGATCGGAATGATTAGTCTGTAGCTTTTTCTATTTTTTTTTTTTCAAGTACTGTTTTCGCTAGTCCGGAATAACTATTCCCTATAGCCATATCATTGGACCGGCACAAAGCCCTGCAATGATAGTAAGAACTATTTTTTTTCTTACGCTTTTTTTTTTCAAGTACTATTTATGCTAGTCCGGAATCACTATTCCCTTTAGTTATATCATTGGACCGGCAAACGCCCTGCAATGATAGTAAAAACCACATTTTTTTTCTTACTCTCTTTTT